CTATTTTATTGTTCTCAATACTTCTTCTAGTCCTCTCTATTTTCTCATTTTTATAACCACAGTCAGAGTTAACCCCAGCCATTTCTAGTTTCTTCTCCATCAGACATGGATGACCACTTAAAGAACCTCTTGAGAAAGATGACTGGTCAGGCTAAAAGCCAAGTCTGATAAAATTGATACAAACCAAAGTAACTTATTAAATTACTAGAGGCCTGGCGCATGAAAGTCGTGCACAGGTACAGTCCCCAGGCCTGGCCTGCCATCTTCCCAGGCTGCCGGCAGCCAGCTCCACCCCCTGTCGCACCCACCCCCGGTTCCCCATTCTCCATCAGGTGATTGGAGCCTGCTGGGCAGGGGAAGAGACCGAAAGGTTGGCCCCGATCCAGCGATTGGGACCTGCGGGCTGGGGGCAGCTCCTGTGTTGAGTGTCTGCCCCCTGGTGGTCAGTGCAGGTCATAGCAACCAGTTGTTCTGCCATTTGGTCGATTTGCATATTACCTTTCTGTTATATAGGATGTGTAGTGATATCTTATAGATACCACATGTGTTTGTTTGTTTTTAAAATATATTTTATTGATTTTTTACAGAGAGGAAGGGAGAGGGATAGAGAGTTAGAAACATCGATGAGAGAGAAACATCGATCAGCTGCCTTCTGCACACGCCCTACTGGGGATGTGCCCACAACCAAAGTACATGCCCTTGACTGGAATCGAACCTGGGACCTTTGAGTCTGTAGGCCGATGCTCTATCCACTGAGCCAAACCGGTCAGGGCGATACCACGTGTGTTAACAAGCAGCAAAGTAAGTCTGTTGGACTTGTGTTTTTAAGAGCTCACTCTGGCAGCAGTTGGAAGGTTAGATTGAAAGGGTGATACTCGAGTTGCGGAGATGAGTTGAGTTAGTTTTCTGTTGCCACCATGACAAATTATCACAAACTCAGTGGCTTAAAGCAACAGTGGTTTATCATCTTGGGGTTTTATAAGTTGAAGCCTGAGTTTCTCTGTTGGTTTCTCTGCTCTGCATTTTATAAAGCTGAGAACAAAATGTGGGCCAGCTGGGCTCTACTGATAGTCTGGGAAGGATCCATTGCTCGTTCAGGTGATTGACAGCAGTCAGTTCCTTGTGGTTGTAGGACTTAGGTTTTCTTGCTGGCTCTCAACTGGGGTTGCTCTTAGCTTGAGGCTTCTTCCTAGTTCTAGCACAAGGATCCCTATATCTCAGGGCCAGCAAAGTTGAGTTAACTCCATGTGCTTGGAATTGTTTACCATCTTAAGGTCAGCTGATTAGTAAATTTAATTTCATCTGCAAAGTCCTTTTACAGCATTACCTAGATGAGTTATTGGTTGGATACTGGGGACAGGAATCCTAGGGAGATGTCTTTAAAATTCTGCCTACCACACAAATTAAAAGACTATTGTAGTAGACCTGGAAAGAACAAACGATGAGGGCTTTTTATGAAGTCATTAGCAATGGGAATGGAGAAAATGAAGAGCGGTGCTAAGGAGGTAGTTCTGAAGACCTTGGTCATTGATTAGAGAGGGAGGGCTCCAGAGAAACTGACTTAGCAGAGCATGACAGTGAAACTGCGTCCCTGTAGAGGGCGGTACTTTGAGGAAGCATGCAGATCGCACTGTGGAACCACACTAAGTCTCAGTAAAGTGGAGTAACCACGTCTCTCTGGAAGCAGGTGTGAAGGGCAGGGCTGCGCAGCAACGCTGAGTGGAAGTCTGTGTGAGGAGGGTTAGACACTGGGTGCCTTCCCCACTGTCCTCCCAGTTTACTTTCTAGAGAAGTGGAACCAAGGTTGGCACCAGGCTCAGTGTGTTTCCATATTCTTCACCAACTTCCAGATCACCAGCAGCCACATTTCATTCCCAAGGCAGAAGATTCATCTCTGAAAAAAATGGAATGGCCTTAGAATAAAGACAAATAGGTACTGCTTTTTAGGAGTTCCCCCCAAAACAATGGCTAAATCCCCAATTAGATTACCCTCCAGTGCTGTCCACCAGTTTTCAGGCTCATCCCAGCTCAGGGCCTGCAGTCAGCTTTTGAGCAGCTCACTCTTCAGTGTGAATAGAAGCCAAGGCCAACAGCCATTGGTTCGGTTCCTAAGTGAGTTCCCATTTGGCAGAGGCAGGCCTGGTCCAGTGGAGCCCTGTTGAGTTTAGGATGCCAACTAGTTATCCTCCAGCCACAGCTGATCTCCAAAGCAGGTGGGCAACCTGGAGCCAGCAGGGTTTTCATTGGGGTGGACCACTTTCCACACACACTCACTCCTCTCTTCTTACAAAACTTGCCATCCTCTGTCGCAGCCCCATCCAGGAAGTAGGTAGCAGACAACATTCTTCCTTCCCTATTTGTCAAAAGTGGGAATTACCATAATCCTTTTGAGAGTTGATATACTTACATGAACTTCATAGCAAACCTCAGTGGAAAATTAAATATTGGTAACTCACAGCTATGTTTGAAAAGCTATCCCCCTGCCCCCTCCATTTGGAATTGATTGATCTGTTCCTATGGTTTCCAAAAATCTGTGCTAAAAACTCTTCTAGGAAGGTTATTTTTAGTTCTTAAATCTCTGAATAGATTTCGCAGCATCTTTTAAAGTTACTGAATTAGGTTTCTAAGCCTTTAAACATTGAATAATACCTAAGGCAAGACTTAATATCCCTTCGCCCCTCAAAGCTATGAAGCTTTTTAGTTCATTTAGAATTCACTGAAATACTTTCATGAAGTGTTTTTGTCAAGGGAATAAAATAGTTGAAGAAATGGGGGGGGGAGTGGGAGGAGTTTACAAACTAAAATTGGAGAATTTTAAAGGAATTCACTATAATTCTTTATTGCTTTAAGAAAGACACACAGTAGAAATGCAAATATATGAAAAGATAATCACCCTTACTCTTAACAGGAGAAATGCAAACTTAAAGCTATAATGAGATACCTATCACCATTAACAGAGAAGTTTTATTTTTTAAAATATTTTTATTGATTTTTAGGGAGAGAGAGAGAAACATCAATGTGAGAGTGAAACATCTATTGGCTGCCTCCTGCACTCCCCCTACTGGGGACTGGGGATTGAGCCTGCAACCCAGGCATGTGTCCTGACCAGGAATCGAACCAGCAACCTTTTGGTGCAAGAAGTTTTCAAATGACATACCTGGTGCTAGTGGAAGTGTGAGGAAACAGGCACTCTCAGTCATTGCGGGTGGGTCTGTATTTGGAACAAACTCAAATGAGAGCAATGTCTCAGAAGCTACCCAAATTTAAAGCGCCAAGACTTTGACCTGGCAATTCTACTTCTGGGAATTTATTTTATATCTATTTCATGTGTAGAAAATATCATGTACAGTGATATTTATGACAGCGTTGTTTGTGACAGCAGAGGCTGGGACGACCAAAATGCCCATTAATCAGAGGCTGGTTAGATACATGGTTTGTCCAAATAATGGAATACTGCAGCCATTTAAAACAGAGGGCAACTCTGTGTGTGCCGAGGAGAGATCCTGAGATGTATGGTTAGGTAAACAGAGCAAGGTGATGACGACTATGTATGTGATGCTACCATTTGTTTTGAAAGGGAACGGGTGTAATGGGGAGTGTCTGCTAGTGAGTTCAGGTTCCTTTTTGAGGTGATAAAAATGTTCTGGAACCAGGTAGTGGTGATGGTAGTACATCTGGTGACTATACCAAAATGCACTGGATTGTAAAATTTAAAATGTTAAATTTAGTGCTATGAGTTATGTGTCTGTAAAAATACTGAGATAAGTAAATAAAATGTATAACCTATATACAGAAAAAAAACTGTTTCTAAAAGGATTTGTTAAAAACTAGCAGCAGAGATAGCTTTGGGGGAGGTGAAAAGGATGGGAAATACACTATTGCCTGTCGTTCGAATTTTGAAATATGTGCAGTATGTATCACCTAATTGAAAATTAATAAAATACTTTATAAGAAGAAGGAAATCTATTGTTAAATCTACTTTAACAACATAAAAGCAAATTTCTAAAATTTACCTACAATTGCAGAACTATTCCATTGTGATTTAAGTTTGATTTTGTCAAGCTCCCAGATGAAGTACTCAACAAATGAAGAAATTTATGTTTGAACTGATTTTTTTAAAAAAACGATAATAGGTGTTAACTACCAGAGAAACTGGGCCATGCTAATTAGAAGGACTTAATTGGGTAATTGCATTTCACCTACTTACATTCCCCCATCACCTTTAATTGGAATAACTTTCCTCCTCACTTCCAGCCCCTACACCGTTGTGTGGGATTGATGGTGCCGTGAATCCCACAGCAAGAGTAGCTTCACTTCAGTGGCAGTTCTGTAAACCCAGATGGGCTGATAATAATGGGAACCACCTTGAGATTAGGGCACATGTGATTGAACCTGTTTAACTAAAAAGAGAACCACTTTACCTGAAATGCTGATCATTACAACTGATCGAGGTGATTTGTGGAACCATGAAGAGGAGGCCAGGAGAGGGGAACCGCTGTTAGAGATTTCCTGCACTCTACCTAAGGCTGTCAGTGTGCATGCGCTCCATCATTTCTTATCCCTACGCCCACGCCTTTTTCCCTCTAAGGAAAATGGGTCCGTAGAACACTGAATGGCTCTTGAATTTCTTAGAAAAATAAATCTAATGTGGAAGAAAGAGATGTGTTTCCCACACGTGGTGACCAATATAAAGGGAGAAAATGTCATCCCCTAACTTTGGCATCACACAACCAATAGACTTAGGTCTCGCTTTTTCTCTCCTTTGCAAGGAGCGATGTGAACAGGAAATGTCTTACCAGGGAGAGAACATCTACCTAACAGGTCATTGTTTTAGGTACATAACTAAAGAAGACGTTGCTGCAGCCTCGATGGACAAGGTGAAGAATGCGGGGGGCCATGTCCGCCTGATCACCAAGGAGGCTGGGCCGCAGGACACTTCTACAAAGTAAGGCCTGCTTACTGGTCGGGCACAGCAGCACTGAGACCACTGCTTCCCATTTTTGCATTCATTTTTGTAATTGTGCTTTTCCCTTGTGTGGCCACCTTACAGGTTCCAAAGAGCTTTCACAATACAGTAATTCTTCAGTTCTCATAGCAACCCTGTGAGGCACATGATGGCCTCATCTTGGTAATTAGAGACAAGAAGGTTATTTTGAGGACCCTGAGACCAGGTAGACCAAGTGACCTGCCCCAGGCCACTAAGATGCTAGGAGGCCTGAGGTCAAATTGGCCTCTGCCCCCTAATACTGAGCTCTTTCTTTCCTAATAAGTTTTCTTCTAACGCTTCTAATAAGCAGCGTAGGACATAGGCAAACAGCGGTTGTAATTCCCACATAGGCCTTTTCAACACAATTGAGTAACGCACCTTTTTCTTTTATCTTAACAAATTGAGCACAAGTCCTACCACGTTTCATTTCTTTCTTTTTTTTAAAAATATATTTTATTGATTTTTTACAGAGAGGAAAGGAGAGGGATAGAGAGTTAGAAACATCCATGAGCGAGAAACATCAATCAGCTGCCTCCTGCACGCCCCCCACTGGGGATGTGCCCGCAGTCAAGGTACATGCCCTTGATGGGAATCGAACCTGGGACCGCAAGCCAACGCTCTATCCACTGAGCCAAACCGGTTAGGGCGTCATTTCTAACTTTAATTCAGTCAGACTCTGAGTTTACCTGTAGGAGGCATATGCTTAGCAAGTCTTCGGTTCTAACCCTATGGACACTGTTAGCTACTTGGCTCGGTCACTTTACGGATGTGACTGTTTCCCGTGGGCCAGCGGAGCCTTGGGAAGGGGCTGTGTCCCAGGGAGGTGTGCACCGTTTGGAGAGCTTTAGCTGGGATTTCACAGTAGCCAGTCCTGTCCCAGCCTGAAGAGCATTTCTAACTTCTCCAGATGTTTCCAAGTCTGATTATTTAACTTGATGATATCTAAATTCCCAAGAGATGCGGCACATTTGTATTCAAATTAACTTTTTTAAACACACCATTTTTTCCTGTATTTGGCATGGAGTCGAGAGTGCTGACTGTAGTGTTTCATTTCCACATAGAATCACAGAATCTGCGGGTTCTATGTTTACTGTTTATCAGCATAGAAATCCTGAAGACCATTATGTGAAGTTAGGCTTGTTTAGACTAGTGTATTAATTAGCCATGTTCTGTTCAATTCTAGGGAGTGTCTTGAAGATGGAGCCTCTGTCCCACCTCCGACTCCCTGCCTAGCGCAAGCTGGTCTCGCTGTGAAGCCGCCTGCGTCCAGAGGCTACCTGCAAGCTGTGGACAGTGAAGGACACCCACTGTACCTCCGCTGTCAGCAGCCCACGGGCCGAACGAAGCAAGAGTGCAAAGCGAACGCTTGGGACTCACGGTTTTGCTCTCTGAACTGTCAGGAGGAGTTTCGGATTCGTTCTAACAACAGTTACCTGCGAGCCAAAGTATTTGAAATTGAACATGGTGTGTGTCAGCTGTGTCATCTGAACGCACAAGAGCTCTTTTTACGTCTGAGAGACGCTCCTAAAAGTCAGCGGAAGAGTCTTCTGGATGCTGCCTGGACCTCACAGCTCCCTCTAGATCAGGTAAGTTCTAATTGTGTGGCAGACGGAAGGCAGCGTTGTACTGAGGGATGGATTCTGACTCGCTCTCCTTTTAACTTTTTATGTGGGAAATCTTAAATACACACACAAAAGTAGAGAGAATGATGAACCCATAACCCATCACCCAACTTTAACAGTTGGACATTTTTGCCTTAATTTTCATCTGTCCCTTACCTCAATTCTTTTTTTTCTCCTGGAATTATTTTAAAGCAAATTCCAGACAAAACTTCATCTCATCCTTAAATATTTTCGTTACGTATCCCTCTTTATCTGACTTCCTTCTTTCCCATCCTCTTTCCCTCCCTCTTTTTTTTTTCTGTTTGTCTTGGAAATTTAATGCCATATCCCCAATAGCCATTACCAAAACAATGGTAATTTCTTGATTATAATAAGTCTGTGTTTGGTTTCCCACCTAGATTGTCTCAAAAATATCTTTTCAGACAATCTGAAAATGCCGTGTTCAGATTAGATCAAAGTATGGCCCTTTGAAGTATGACACATGGCATTTAGTCATGCCTCGTATGGTCTCTTTACTCTGTATTGCCCCATTCTTTTTTTTTTACACCATCGATTGCTGAGGAAACTGGATCATTTGCCTATAGGATTTCCCACATTCTGGATGTGTCTCCCTGTATTCTCATGGTATTATCTGACATGGTTCTCTACTCCCCCGATTTCCAGAATAATGGTTATAAGATATAGAGGCTTAATTAGATTCTTGTTAAATTATTTGGGGAGAGATCTTAACAGATGATACATTACATCAAGAAACACCTATGAGGACCCTCACCGGTTTGGCTCAGTGGATAGAGTGTCAGCCCATAGACCGAAGGATCCCAGGTCTGATTTCCAAAAAAAAAAAAAGAAGCACCTATGGGGAAACCTCCTACTGTTTTTTATAGTAGCTGTGCCAATTTACACCCCTACCAGCAGTGTACAAGGTGTCCTTTTTCTCCACATCCCCAACAAATTTAAAAAACACACACACAACAACACTATGGTCCAGTTGCTCTACTTTTCATGATATTAATATTGAATGATGAAGGGCAAACAGATAAAATGCAGTTCATTGCAATGAGAAGGAAACATATTCATCTGTTGTAAAACCAGATTTTAGCAGAGCAATTTATGACAAAATATTATCTTTAGACTCATCAATATTCGCTTTGATTCCCAAAACTCAATTGGATTTCTAATGTTGTGATTTAATCAGTTCTAAACTTCAAACTAAAGCAAAATGTATAATTTTATAGTGAGCTGAGTTTTTTTGTTGATAATCCTCAACTGAGGATTATCTTTTTCATTAATTTTTAGAGAGAGTGAAAAGGAGGGAGGGAGGGAGAGAGAGAGAGAGACAACCATCGATGTGAAAGACAGACATCAATTGGTTGCCTCCTGCACGCGCCCTTCAGGGCCAGGGATTGAACCTGCAACTCAGTTACGTGCCCTTGACGGGAAATTGAACCCATGACCCTTCAGTGTACAGGCCGATGCTCTGATCACTGAGCTACCCCAGCCAGAGCAGTGAGAGCAGTGATTTTAAAAATCACTCCTGAGCCACTCTCTGCCCACTAAAATATTGTCAAATCATATATTTTATTTACCTATTATTGCTGAATTATGACAGAATTCACTAATAAGCATTTCTACAAAAATGAATTCGCATAACTTTGAGAACTAGGGAGATACACTATTTTTTAAATGGTGTCCTGAGTTCCTGAAATATACTTTGGTCAACTGGTGAGGGACATATTGTACCCATCTCAGTGAGGAGGCTGCCAGAAGACACACGTGGCAGGACTGGAGGACATCTGGAAGCAGTCTGTCCAGGAGGTAGCATAGTGACACCCAAAACAAAAGTGCTCAGAAGACTGGGAGCACCACAGGCTCAGTTCTGGGAGGACCACTCAGAGAGGGGGTGACTCTTTCGACAGGTGAATTTAGGATGTTGAAGATGTCCCCACGTGATTTGCTCATTACTAGGGAGAATAAACACCTTCTAGAGGCCAGAGTCTGCCAGAGTAGAGACTGTTCAGAGCAAAAGAATTGGTTACAAAAGGCAGAACCAAAATGGATCTTTTTCCTAAGAATGCGCCATTTGCTCGATGCATCAGACTTCTATTAGTAGCTGCTTCCCACAGTGCCAGCCACAGCCGGACAAAGCTTGCCGCTCTAACTCGCTGCCACTTGGGGCTCCTCTCGGGCTGGACACTGCTGACGGGTCCCTGTGCCCACACAGGTCTGCAGCTTTTCTTAAAAGTGCTTTAGAAATGCAACACAGGTTCCCGTGGCTGGCAGCAGGAAGTTGATTACAACTTCTTCCTTGTTCAAGACCGAGAAAATAAAACAACCTTCACACTGATCTTTGTGATATTTAAACAACTGCACAGCTGTGTGGTGAGCTGGTTTTACTACCTTAGGTAAAATGTTAAAATACATCCCATTTGAATATAGGTCATCCTTGTTTAAATATTAAGTGTGTCTATGTGGACTGGCCTAAATCATCCCTGCTTTAAGTGGACAGCTTTGTTTATTCAAAATATGCAACTTTTAGAGGTTGTTCTAGAAATATATCAGTCCATGTAAACTGGCAGATTCCCAGGTGACTAGCATGGAAGTTCCAGGTTATAGCTATTAATATTAATTAACTGTCATTGGTATAGTAATGAATGCATTTAGGTCAACAATTAAAGATTTTTTTTAAGTCAGTAGTAATATTTAGAAGTTTTAAGTTTTTAATCTGTTCTTATTCTTTTCTGTTTTGTTTTAGTGACTGTATAAACTAGCTCAAAAGTGCAAAAACAACTAATTTTTCCCAGTCTGTCAGGAGTCTTGGTATTTTCTACTTGCTTATACTTTTTTCTCAAAATGGTTTAGGTAAGGAAAAAAAGAACTTTTCCAGAAACATTTTATTGTTTTCAAATTGCTAACCTAGAGGCTTTTCCCTATTCACAAAAAAAGGCTATAAAGAGCCATCCTAATGCATTTTTCCCTGATTCTGCTGTGTAAACATGATCGCACAATGCAAAACCCACAGTTCCCGCAGTGTGTGTACAAAAGTGCTGACCCTGGGTTCTGGTTGCAGCTTAACGAAATGGTCAGAGCCCCCGGGGAAGGGCACTTCTGGCAGGTGGACCACATCCGGCCGGTGTTCGGAGGAGGAGGACAGTGCTCCCTGGACAACCTGCAGACTCTCTGCACAGTCTGTCACAGAGAGGTCAGTGCCCTCCGCTCGTCCCACTCCGTCCCGGGCCTGGGTGACATCGTGCATGCCGGCAGGGAGAGGACTGGGGATCTACGTCCTGGGCTGGGATCCAAGACACATTTTATTTCTTTCATCACCTAACACTGTTTCCTCTCGAGGCCTCGGTCTCAGTCACAGATGAGAGAGAGGCTGCTTGCCTTCTGATTCATCCCAAGACCCGGAAATTTCCCCACCGCCTAGCAGAAAAGAAATACAATGTAGTTTGCATGGTCTTGAAGAGACTCAGACCTTCCAGCTAGATGTTTAGTGAATTGGGGCAGTGACATATGTTTGCATGTGCGGCTAAGGATGTCCTGAAATGTCTAAGAACGTTAATAAACTATCTCTAGGACCAACTCAGTTCAACATGCAAACATTGCACTCTTGGCCAAAGTATAAAACCTGTTAACCTTGGCACATCTTTGAGCAATGAATGATTGTTTATCAACTAGGGTGAATTTTTAATGGGCAGTCAGCAAAAGGAAGTCAGGCCTACCTGTTGAGATAATCTTCGAAAGAAACACTTACTCAATACGCAACTTTGCATCTGACTTATTTTTCCCCTTTGGCAGATTTAAGCATTTTCCCACATTCCCATGATAAGCATTCATAATGTTATTGTCTAAAGTGGCTGCACATGATTCTGTTGAATAGATCTCTACTGTAGTGTATTTAGCCCTTCCTATGCGAATGCACATTGAAGTTACTTACATTCTTTTTTGTTCTTATACATATTGTTGCCACACACTTTTTTTTTGTTTAATGTTTTGAGGTCATTCCTTAAGATAGAGTCTCAGATCTAAAATATCGCTGAGTCACGTGTATTTTTGAGGCTGATGTTTTTACCTCCAAGCTGTTTTCCCAAAGGTTATACTGTTAGCCGCCCTCCCCCCGCCCTTCCCCCCGCCACCCCCCCCTCCCCCCTAGCCCATCAGGGAAGAGAGTGCCCATCTGACTGCATGGGTTGTGCCCGTGCGGTGGGGGAAGTGGCCTGCCCAAGTTTGTTTACTAAAGACCCTGATGGTTTTTAAAATGCTAAGCAATTGTATTTACAGTTTTGAGATCTGTTCGGATCCTTTGACAATGTTCATATTATGTGAGCATTTTCTTAGCCTTTTAATATTTTAGATTCCTCTCCTCACAAACATAACTTACACAAATGGGGATTGTTCGTTTGTTCTTCATTTGAACCCTCTTTGCTTTCCTCACCCTCCCACCTGGGTCACTTCACACGTGCATGGACTCCAATCTGGGGGAAAAGTCGTCCGATTTCTCCGCTGTGCAAATCAGTAGCACATTTAAGACTAATAAGAGAATTAAGATATAGCAAAATGCTGCCCCTTCTGTGGTCGATTTTTCAGGTTCTCGTGAAAAGTCCTATTTGCGGGACTGGCAAAAGAATCCATTTCTTGCCTATCCCATTTTGTTTTCCGTGTTGGTTTGGCTGCTGGGTTGGGAATTCCAGAGAAGAGGAAAGGGCAGGCCTTGTGCACACTGCATTCTGGGAAATCCACAGATGGCCTAACACTCCCACTTGGATGAGGGGAATCATGGCCTCCTCCCCGAGACCCCAAGGGAGGGATGCACGGACCGCCCTGGGTAGCATCCCCCCAAACTCTGTGTTTTCTCCTCAGCACCTGGTCCTAAGTGAACCCAGGACCTCGGCACTCAGCAGAGCTGCTGGGTTCGCTGCTTGTGGTTTGGTGATGCCCCTAATGGCAAAGCACTGGGAGTGGGTGTGGCAGTCATGTAGCTATTTCCCGACTAACAGAATACAGGGAGTGTTTGAGTTTCTGTAGCCAGTACTTTTCTCCCCGCATGTGAACACATTCATGTTTTTAACTTTCAGAGAACTGCCAGGCAAGCCAAGGAAAGAAGCCAGGTGAGGAGACAGTCTCTGGCGGCAAAGCATGGATCCGACATCACGCGGTTCTTGGTGAAGAAATGAAGTTTAACAAACTTTGAATGGATGACAGATGGCTTACCTGTGGAGGGATTTAACTCGTTTTTTTCATGTTTGTCTAATATTTTAAGAGTGAAATTTTTTAGAAAGTCAAGACTTCAACTTCCCTTTTCATATTAAATGCTTTTATCGTTCAATACCTTTTTAAAGTACCTAACAGAAATCCTGAGGTGCAGTACTGTTTCTGTGACCTTGATTTCATGCAGACTCTCAATTGTGTTTCCATAAGGTTTTGTTAAGCTTTCATTTCCTACTACTACCTTAATCATGGTGTTAGGCATGGGTTGTACTTAAAAAATATATTCTCAATGACTTGCAAAATGCTGCTGGGTTGGGATTGTTTCAGGGCTGCTGAGCGCATAGAATGGGGCATCGCAAGACCATAAGGGAAGTTTTGGGAGCAAATCCTCATTATTCAGGAATCCTGGGCAAAGCGTGACCAGCCTGCTTAGTATGCAAGAGAGACTCTGTTCACTAAATCCTCCAAAATGGGCTTGGGGTACACATTCTGAGTGTTTTCTCTTTTATTTCTTAGCCAGTTGTCTTTATTAAAGTGATGCTTTTTTAAAAAACCAACTAATTGGACCTATAGTGTTTGTGGACAAATCAGGGGTTCTGTGTAAAATAATTGTTAAATATATTAAAAAACTTAAAATATAAAATGCCACTTATACTTCAATTTTCAGTTAGCTGTTTTTTTTTTTGTTTTTTGGGCTTTGTTTTTGTTGTTGTTGTTTTGCCTATTTTTGTTTAATTTATTTAAGACCACCTCCTTGCAGTTTCCAGAGAGAAACTACAAAACAAGAAACAGACTTGGTTTCAAATACATGAGCAGTGTGCTGGAGTTTAAAGCACTGCTGATAACATTGTTACAGAAGAATGTCAGCTTGCTGCAGGGCACTTCAGTATCCTGAGGGATAAACATGACTTCTCTTCTCCTCGCACCGAGATGTTCTCAGGTGTAACTCACTGCTTCTGCTCTTTCACATATTTTCCACGTAGAAGATATGGAGCCTGGAAACCATGCTGACAGCTGGAGTAGGCCATTCCCAACCCCATGCCAGAACCCAAGGCTAGTGGCCACATTCTTCTTTCAAAGAAGGTAAGTGAGAAGACAGGTCCTAATCCAAACCAGTACCTATCTTGACGACCGTATCCGCCAAGCACCGGTCCCACTTCCTGCCAAGCTCTGAACCTGACATGTTTCCCACCGGAGCTTGGCTTTCCCCACGGCCTGGCCCCGCGCTCCGACTCCAGGCAAAGCTGGTTTGTTTTTAAGCATTAAAACTAGGCTTACTGTCAAAGCACCTTAGTCCCCCAGTTACCACTTTTTGTTTTTAAAATCCTGTCTTATTAAAAGCGTATTCCAGGCACCTATTTTAAAAGGAGTGATGATGATGATAAAACACTTTATATTAAAGCATGATCTGAATGATCTGATTGAGGTATATGTTAAAAAATAAAATGGAATTGATATAAAAAAGTAAAAGGGTGATTATGAAACAAAAGCAGAGCATAGCCCTGTAACATGTCAGAATCATGAAAGCAAGAGTCAGAACCACACAAATCACAGGTTCAAGGAAGACATACACCACAAAGACTGTTTATAAATGCTGTATGGATGTGACCTCATCAGTTTGAGACTTTCCAATTTTAATTAGTAGCTGATGTTTCACAATGCAGAGCACTTGATTTTAGAAAGATTATACACTCATGAATTTTTGAAGAGTTCTTAAGTTTATAACTATTTCGCTGTATAAGGTCAAATAGTGTTGTTTATTGTACGAATTAGGTTGGGCTTTCTTTGGCCTTTTTTCTGCTTTGCTGGTCAAGCTCTTTGCAGTTTTCTGCCTCATTACCAGAGTAACCCAGGATTCCTCACGGCCGAGGGCTAAGGAGTCTTCGCACTGTTTTTCCTCCAGCAGCGAGTGTTTGCAAGTGAGAGTTTGGTGTAAGTAGGTCAGGTTTGAGTGGAGCTTGCTCTTTAGATCAAATTAAGTTGGTAATTCTAGGGAGAACATTCTCAGATGGAGGAACTGTGTGATGGTTTCAGGTGAAATGACCCATGAAGGTGGTCTCTCTCTTTGCCAGATTTCAAAATTCCAACTAAAAACATTATGAGAGCATCAAGAAGAATAGAATACAGATACATTTAACCATGGAGGTGAAAAATCTGTACACTGAAACTACAAGACTTTAATGAAAGAAATTGAAGAAGACACAAATGAATGGAAAAATTTTGTGTTCATGGACCTGAATAATTAATATTGTTAAAATATCCATACTGCCCAAAGTAATCTACAGATTTCATGCAATCCTTATCAAAATTCCAATGGCATTTCTCATAGAAATAGAAAAAAATCCTAAAATTTGTATGAAACCACAAAAGACCCTCAAATAGCCAAAGCAATTTTGAGAAAGAAGAACAAAGCTAGAGACATCATGCTTCCTGCTTTCAAACTGTAGTACAGAGCTGTAGTAACCAAACATTATGGTATCGGCATAAAAACTGACACATAGGCCAATGGAACAGACTAGAGAGCCTATCCTATCTAATAAAATAGTGATATGCAAATTAACCCTCACTCCATCACAAAGATGGCGATGGCCACAGAGCTGGAGCGAGCAGGAGGCTTGGGTTGCCCCCGGCGATGGAGGAAGCCAAGCTTCCCACCTGCCCTGGCTGGCACTGGGCTCTGCTCAAGGCTACAAAGTTTCAATTATAGAAGATAAATAAATCCCAGAAAAAAAAAGAAAAAACGGAGAGGCTGGGGCTTGGGTCGCTGGGGAGCGTGGCCAGCCTAAAAACGGCCATCAGTTCCTCACCCAGGCTGGCCAGGCACCCACTTGGAGACCCCCACCCTGAAGGGGGTGTGACCAGCCTGAACATGGCCCTCAGCCCCTCACCCAGGCTGGCCAGGCAACCCAGAGGGACCGCCATCCTGATCCGGGACACCCTTCAGGGTAAACCAGCCGACCCCCACCCACGCACCAGGCCTCTATCCTTTATAATAAAAGGGTAATATGCAAATTGATCCTAACAGCAGAATGACTGGTCACTATGACACACACTGACCATCAGGGGGCAGACGCTCAATGCAGGAGCTGCCCCCTGGTGGTCAGTGCACTCGCACAGGGGGAGCTCTGCTCAGCCACAAGCCAGGCTGATGGCTGCCAGTACAGCGGTGGTGGCAGGAGCCTCTCCCACCTCCTCAGCAGTGCTAAGGATGTCTGACTGCAGCTTAGGCCTGCTCCCGCTGGCAAGTGGACATCCCCCGAGGGCTCCCGGGCTGCCAGAGGGATGTCCACCTGCTGGCTTAGGCCCGGTCCCTGGAGCAGGCCTAAGCCAGCAGGTGGACATCCCTCGAGGAGTCCCAGACTGCGAGAGGACACAGGCCAGGCTGAGAGACCCCCCTGAGTGCACAAATTTTTGTGCACCGGGCCTCTAGTCTATGATAATAAAAGTGTAATATGCTAATTAGACCACATGCCCTTCCAGATGAAGCTGGGCTGCGAGGGAAGCCTGGGTCCCGGGTGCCAGAGGGAAGCTGGTGCCGACAGCTGGGGGAAGGTAGGCCTACTCTTGCACAAATTTCATGCATTGGGCCTCTAGTGCATATAGAAGTTTCAACAGGAGCTAAGACTATACAATGGAAAAAGGATAGTTTCTTCAATAAATGGTGTTGGGAAAACTACATAACCACATATAAAAGAATGAAACTGGATCCCTATTTTACACCACATGCACAAATCTACTCAAAATGGATTAAAGACTTGAACATAAGACCTGAAAGTATACAACTCCTAGAAGAAAACATAGGGGCAAACTCCTTGACATCTGCCTTGACTGCAATTTTGGATCCAATAATAAAAGCAAAAATAGCCCAGCATGGCTCAGTGGTTGAGCGTCAACCTATGAACCAGGAGGTCACTGTTTGATTCCTGGTCAGGGCACATGCCTGTGTCATGGGCTCGATCCCCAGTGTAGGGTGTGCAAGAGACAGCCAATCAATGATTCTCTTTCATCATTGATGTTTCTATTTCCCTCTCCCTTCCTCTCTGAAATCAATAAAATATATATATTTTTAAAAGCAAAATAAACACATGGAACTACATCAAAAAGCTTCTGGAAATCATCAACAAAATTTAAAAAACAAACAAACAAAAAACCTCCTCAATGGTAGAGAATATTGGCAGACCACATATCCAATAAGAGATTAGTATCCACTACAAATAAGAAACTCATACAACTCTATAGCAAAAAACAATCACTAAGCACCATGGAAATGCAACTCAGAACCACAATGAGATATCATCTCACTCCTGTTACGGCACCATTATAAAAAAGACACAAGCCTGGCTGGAGTTGCCCAGTTGATTGATCACCATCCTGTGCTAAAGGTTGCAGGTTCAATTCCTGGTCAGGACACATACCTGGGTTGCAGGTTCAATCCTCAGTCAGGGCAAATACAGAGGACAACCAATCGATGTTTCTCTCTCTCTCTCTCTCTCTCTCTCTCTCTCTCTCTCTCTCTCTCTTCCTCTAAGCATGTCCTCAAGTGAGGATTAAAAAAAAATTTTTAAACAAACATGAGATGGCAAATGCTGGTGAGAATGTGGAGAAAAGGGAACCCTTGTACACTGTTGGGAATGTACATTGGTACAGCCACTATGGAAAATAGTATGGTGATTCCTCAAGAAGTTAAAAATAGAACTATCTGTGATCCAGCAATCCCACTTCCAGGTATATATCCATAGGAAAACAAAACCATTATCTCAAAGAGATATCTCTACTCCCATGTTCAGTGCAGCATTATTCACAAGAGCTAAGGCATGGAAACAACCTAAGTGTGTGTCGACAGATGAATGAATAAAGAAAACACGGCACCCTGGCCAGGTAGCTCAGCTGGTTAAAGTGTTGTCCCAATATGCCAAGGTTGTGGGTTTGATCCCCACTCAGGGCACATACAAGAAGCAACGAATGGATGCATAAAGTGGAACAACAGATCAGTGTTTCTCTCTCTCTCTCCCTCCCTCCCTTTCCCTCTCCCTACCCCTCTTCCTCTCCCTCTCTAAAAATCAATAAAAAAGAAAATATAGTAGATGTATACAGTGGAATATTTTCCAGCTTTAAAAAAGAAGGAAATCCTGCAATTTGTGACAACATGAACCTGGAGAGCATTATCCTAAGTGACATAAGCCAAGTAACGACAAATGCTACATGGCATCACCTGCTGAATCTTTTTTAAAATGTTGAACTCATAGAAATAGAGAGTAGAAAAGTGGTTACTGGGACTGGGAGGTGCGGGAATAGGGAGAGTTTAATAAAGGTACAAACTTTCAGTCATGAGATGAATAAGATCTGAGGATCTAGCACATGACATGGTGACTACAGGTGATAACATGTACAATTGAAATTTGCTAAGGGAGTGAAACATACATGTTCTCCCCCCACCAAGAAGATAAATACGTGAGGTGATGAAAGTGTTGACTAACTAGACGGTGGTTATTCTATCCGTGTACCAAATGACCACACTGTGCACTTTAAACATCCTACAATTTTATCTGTCAATTAGACCTCAATAAAGCCGGAAAGAAAAACAC